ATGTTAGGTGGGATTAATCGCGATTAATTTCAGAATTTTTTTTGCAATTAATTAGTTAATTTTTTTAATAGATTGACAGCACTAAAATATATGCATGATCATTTAAAAGTTTGGGGTTGGTAAGATTTTATTTTTATTTTTTTAGTGTCTTATGTTCACCAAGGCTACATTTATTTGCTCAAAAATACAGTAAATACTGTAAAATTCTGGAATATTATTACAATTTAAAATAACTGTTTTCTATTTTTAAATATTTTAATATGTAATTTGAAATTTTAATATCTGTGATGGTAAATTTGAATTTCCAGCATCATTAAAAAAAGTTGTGCTGCTTCATATTTTTGTTGAAGCCATGACATACATACCTATATATATATTAGGACCTTTTGATAATTTTAAATAATAAAAAAAATAAAAAAAAATAAATACATTTTCAAAACAAAAACAGAAACAGGAAATATAAATTTTTTGTAACATTATAAATGTCTTTACTGTGACTTTCGATCAATTTAATGTGTCCTTGCGGAATAAAAGTATTAAACAGTATTTTTAAAAAAGCATTAAAAAGTAAAGAAAAAAAAAAAAACACCCCAAAAACTTGAGGTTTTCTTTTAAAGAATTTAATTCTTATGATAAGGATTTTTTCATTATTAAATCAGGACAATTGTATCACCCTGACTTAAAGCTTTAAAATGAATTTTGATTGGTTTTGTACGAATTGTTTTTTTTTTTTGAGTACATTAATATATAGGACCAAAACTTAATGTCATTGTCCCACAGACATTTGAAGTTAACTCTATCGCCGCTTACGTGCCACACACAGTATCACACTTTAAGAATGTTCATGTGTATTTTGCACTTGCAATATGTTGTTCAAACATTCATACCTATCTTGACGTACTTGCGTAAAGTGTGTTTCTGGCCTCTCCTGCCTTACAAAGCAAATTAAATTTGCCAGGCCCACATCACAGAGGTCACTAGCTGAATTTTTCTTCAACAACTTGGTTAACTTGCCCACTGCTACCATGTTCTTGTAACAGATGCATAAATTTGGCCTCCCGTATGCTGTGATGCGATGCAGCAGCGCTCCGTCCTTCCAGGTCCGCCTTCTATGACATCTCAAGACTTTCCTGATGCACTGGAATGAGGACATGGCACCCTCCAGGGAATAACTCACAGTTCTGAGGCTCGCTAGTGGTTAACTGCCGACTTCCCTCAGGGTTCCGAAGGGTTGCAGATGGCAAAGATGGTGGAGGTAGTGATGAACGGTGGGGAAGAGAGTGAGAGAGAGAGAAAGACAGAGAAAAAGGAAGAGCACAGTGGAAGCGCCAGCACTATAACAAATGGGCCTCCAGCCGAAGCCAGTGCAATCCTTGGCGTATGTAGCGCACCAGTTCTGTCATGCTGCTGTGCTGCGTCAACGGTTCCATCACTGAGTCCAGCTCCAGAAAGAACTCTGTAAGAACAGAGAGAGAGACACACAGAGCGATTGGCAACATGGGACCAACATTGTTTTTTACATATGACTACAGTAAATTATATATAACAGGTGTTGCTAACCTTTTTGAGATTGAGTGCCATTTTTTATGTGCCACTGACAGTAAAAACCAACAATAAAGCAGATGCGACTTTCTGGCAGACTAACTACAACATCTTGACCCCAAAATGGGTCCATTGACAGCATTCAAAAGTAGTCATGTATTCAGAGAAAATACAGTTGTTTAAAAATGACACATACATTGCAAATCATAAAAAAAGATAATGTTTTGCCAGTGATTGTATTTTAGAGTGATCTAAAAAGTGGAAAATAGACTGAATTCTGCCTTTATTCATTAAAATTTTTTTTATTTTTTATTTATTTTTAAAATTAAGTATAAAGCATTAAGAATATTTTGTATTCCTAAAAACATTTTTTTAAATTTTCTTATCTTTTTAAGATTGTTCTGAAGACTTTGAAGAATTTGAATTCCAGAAAAGAATGCTGTTAAAAATCCTAGAAAAATAAACCCTTAACCCTCACAATGCATTAAAAATCTGTATGATTGTCACATTCTGGGTCCAATTCGATGAATTGTTTTATAAAACAGTTTTTTTTTTTAACTAAAACCATATTGTATCTGATCAGCAACTTTTCATTAGTGAGTGAATGTGAAAATGTTGTTATTACTATGTTATTACTACATTTTTGTTTTATTTACAAAATTGAGAATTCTTTGAAATGTATATTCAATTCTGAGGAGAAATCCTATTTGAATATGTCATTGTTAAAAAATAAAAACAATAAAAATAAGAAAATACATAATAATCTGAGAATTACCAGAATTACCCCATTGGAATGAATGGGGTGTAATCAAATTCATTTGACTTATATCTCATGATTGCCCACATTTATGAAACCTAAAACAATGTAAATGTTCCTCTGAAAAGTTTTCAAACAAATTAAATTCATTTTACTTACATAAACTTTAACTTTTACATAAAAAGTGATACATTTTTCATGCTGCAGTGGTTCGTCAACAAGCGTGCTTATTCACAAAATTCAGTCCCTAAAGTGTGTGAGACATGTGGAGAATGCTGAGTATATGTATATATATATGGGGTGGAACGATACATGTATTCGTACCGAACCGTCACGGTACGGACATCTCGGTTCGGTGCATGAGGCCTTACAACGAATACAGGCAATTCACCCCCAATCCAGAAGGGGGCGCCCGCAGAAATGCAACGCTGTTTGATAACCGGCCGCCAGCAGAAGAACAGCGAATGCCATAAGTTGCGCACTAGTGATGCAAAGTCCGATTCATTGTAACGTATCTGAATGCTAAACTATTATTTATTATGTAAATTATAGGCTTTGTACTTCAGTCTCATTCCAACGGTGACACAGAGGCGGGCGTGCACTTAAGGACACATTTACAAAGTTCTTAAGAATTAAGATTCTAAAGAATTTATCTAAAAAAAAATTCTTAAGATTTTTGTGAATTTATGTGAGGCTATGAATGATAATTCTAAAATAAAGATGTCAATAACATGATAAACATGCTATATAATAATTATTTCTTGACTGAACACAGACAAATGATACAAAACAACAACAACAACAACAACAACAAAAAAACAATTAATCTTTAACTAAATTTTCCTTCATCAAGGTGAATTTTCTTAGGTTTAGCCTGAAGATAACGGAGGTATCTGATGACATCACTGCCTCCTACTAATGACTGCAGCAATTAGCAAATAGATGACAACAACAGACCACAGAGTCAGAACTGATACTGTCATAATTAGCCAATCCCGCTATCATTCTGACCAAAGCTCGTACCCACCATCACCTAACTGCATTCATTTCTGGGAAAGAGACTGAGGAGGGGAAGTTGAGAGAGAGTTTATTACGGCTGATTTCTGAGGCGGGAGAGACCTTGTACAACACGCAGGGTCTCAGAGCGTTTTAATTAGTCTCCTAGAGAGAGAAAGAGAGGAAATGACAAGCCACATCTGATCTCAAATGCAATTAGCATAGTGGCTTTTTCATTTCTCTGGTGGGCCGTATCAAACGTTGAGTTACTGATAACACTGCGAATGCGAGAGGTGAAATTCTTATATAATGCTGCGATATATGACAGCCAAGACAAATGAGATTTATCCGCAGGAGAGAGATTTTGGGAGAATCTGTGGAAAAGTAATTCTTTACTTCAATGATTGTTTCATGATGCAAGATAAAAAAAGCCCTGAAAATGGTAGGCGAAGAACTAATTTTGTCTCTCTAATACTGATGTGCGATATAGCTAAAAATAATACAAACCTTTGACAACAATGTACATATGTGCACTGAAAAAAATCTGGTGTAGAAACAATTTTTTCACTCCAAAATTGCTAGTAAATTGAAAATAAATAAACAAATAAATTAAAAAAAAAATTAAAAAATTAAAATTCTATATATTATTATAGAACATATATAGAATATATATTCTATAATATTATTATATTATTAGGGATGCACCGATAGGATATTTTTTGCCCGATACGATACCGATTTTAACAAACAACTATTGTCCGATTCCGATACCGATATTGGTCAATTGCCTAAAGCAGGGCTTCCTGCGTTCCTCTGTATTAGGCTATTACCATTCCGAAACCAGTTTGAACTTAAACGTTTATTTGCCTATAATAATAATAATAATAATAATAATAACAATAATAATAAAGTACAGCGTTTTCTTTCATCAAAAAACAAAACAAAACATGAGGGTCTTGATCTGGTAGCCTATATTGCGCTTAGTCATAGCCAATACAGCATCACCTTGACTTTCCTGGGCCAGCTTGTCAGCGGTTTCCCAGTGTTCATAGCTGCGCAGGATGTTGTTGGTGATGTTGACATGACTGGCTGCCATGTGGTGGATACGTTGGGGAATGGCCACACTTCCAGAGGCAGAGGAAGAGCCCATCACTCCAGCACCGCTGCTGACCGAACTGACAGGAGATGAACTCAGGGACATGGGAGACGGGGTACCTGTGCTCCTGTTAGGAGACAGATAAAATACTGACCAATGAGAATTTTGGAAATTCAATCCACCGTATTCCCGCACCATTTCAAACTGACACGTCACTTTCCTTACCATTAAAATGGATCTTGTGCATTACTATCTATCAAATGTAAGTGGCGAGTGGGGCATGTAAAGACATGTTGTTTGTAGCTTGGTTTCTGTTTATTTTATGTTATGCTCAGCAGCCCCGCCCACAGTGAAATCTCATTGGCTCAATATCCTGTGCTACACAGCTTTATATAAATAATATACATCTTGATTGGCTTTAATGACTACCCTTGTGTAAAATAAGTACTCTTTAGCATACTTGTAAAATTAGTACTTATTATGGAAATTATAAACATTAAAATATATACTTAAGTGCAAACTGAATGTAATGTTTTCAGACATGAAATTACATGTTCTTTGCAATTAAATGAAAATGCAGTTCCACTTTATTTTAAGGTGTTCTTGTTATGATGTAAAAACATATATTTACTTACTGAGTAATATTGATTAACTACATATACAGGGTTAGAGTTAGGATTAGGGCTGGTTTAGGTTAGTTGTATGTAATTAAGTAGTATTTACTGTTATTACTACAATAAGTAAAGTGTAAAGTGGACATTAATAGTGTTATATGAATTAATATTTAAAATGTTTTATAGTTAAACTATATATTAAATACAATTAGTTGAACTTAACAGTGCTTTTTGACCCATTTAAGTAGGTTTAGTACATCTTTTTATCTAATTTCATAATACTACTCTTTTAAATATAGTTGTACTGCTGAATATACTGACAAGCATTTATGGTAAAATAAAATATACTTTAATGTCCTTTCTGTTAAATGCAACAAAAAAAATTTGCATATCATTTATTTGAAAAGGAATTTGTAATGATGCAGTTGCAGTTTAGAACATTTAAAATTTCAACAAAAACATAAAAAAAAAAAAACTTTCAATGTATTATCAAATAACACACTACAATTAAAACTATAATCGAGTACTTTAAAAATGCTTTAGTATGTTAATCAACATCAAAATAAGATTACGATAACCTAATTATTTAAAATGTACCTGAATTTTACTGTAAAGAAAATTTTTATTTTATATGAAATAAATATTTTACAAAATATTTTGAAATCTAAAATTGTTATAAATCAAACCGATATGTCTAAATATGTTATGTTCCAAATTTGAAGTTGATATTACAAAAATTTTGGTTCCTGTGAGAAAAATAGATTTTTAATGCATTTTTTCTGTCACAAATGTATACATTTCTGTCACAATGTTACTTCTATCATGAAATAACCACCAAATATGGAACATTGAGACTCAGACCTTTCCAATGACACACATTTTGTCAAGACTAGACTTGTCAAGAACGCTGACAGCTAACATGTTAAAATAAAACCTTTAATTTGACATTATTACAACTTTTTAAAAAGTTATTAGAAGTACACTGTGTGTTAACAAACATAGTCAAGAAAGTGTAAGTGTCAACTAAGTGGCCTTTTCTTTCATTAATATTATTTTATCTGCACATAGATTTAAGATTTGAAATACACTATAAGTGCTTATTCAGTTCAATTCAGTAAGTGCACTTCTTTTTCACAAGGTACCGTCATTGCTATAAGATTCTTTATGTTTACCAAACAACCCTTTAATCAGTATCTCAGTACATTATCAACAGTAACCTGCAGACAGTGTCGTTCCTCCAGACAACTATCGGCACACATATTCATTGGTTTCTTAAGTGCTTCACCCCAAACAATCTGGTTCAGTGGCCTGTAATCCACTGATAAATGGAAACACACTCAAGCCTCGGCCGGCTAAATTATGCGCCCTGTCAACAGCCGGGCCCATTCGTAGCGGGTTTCAGGGCTCAGCTAAAATAAATAAACTCCCTCCGAGGCGAAAAAAAGATTCATGATGGTAAAGGATGAGGAGGAGGTTGAGGATGGATGTGTTGATCACAGTTACAGCAGGTACGGCTGGCTCTTTATTGCTAATGTAGTAGCTGCAGGGGCCGAGCCGGTGAGGCTAATTGCTTTTGACAGGCAGGTTGGCAGCCGAACAGCGGGCCTGGGTAGTGTCCAGCTAGAGGCCGGATCAGACACACACACATAATAATAATAAAGTACAGCGTTTTCTTTACTCAAAAAGAAAAAAAAAACACGAGGGTCTTGATCTGGTAGCCTATCTTGCGCGTAGTCATAGCCAATACAGCATCATCTTTTCTAGATTTTGACCAAATGTATTAAACAAAAGAAAATACTGTCAACCCTTTAAAGACATTAAAGTCATTTTTCAAGATATTTAAACATTTTTGCAGCATGGATAAAAAAAAGCTACTCCTATAAGCGTTTTGAGAGGAAATTAATATTACTAAATTAGTAGGCTGTCCACTGAAATAGTACATTCTTGAAAAATGTGTTCAAATTATTTTGCATGTCTTTCAAACTGTATGTCACTTAATGAATATAAGACCACAGTAAAAACTAACATCTGCCTACAAATATTTTACCAAATCATTTCAAATTATAAAAAATTATGAGAATTTTGTGAACCATTTTAGAGTGAAAATAAATTGTTGTATACTTTAAAGCACACAAAATGTAAAAAAAGAAGATTAAAATCTAATTATTTAAAATGTACTTAAATTTACTGTAAAGAAATGTACTGTACTAAAGATTATTTTTTTTTTTTTAAAATAAATATTTTACTAAATATTTTGGGATCTAAAATTGCTATAAAATCAAAACCATATATAAAGCCATACATAATTGACTGTTCCAAATTTGAAGTTGATATTACAAAAATGTAGATTACTGTGAGATTTTTAAGGAGCTATAACAAAAATAGCCACTGGGTTACACCCAAACTCTGTTGAATATTTTTAATGCACTTTCTTATCACAAATGTATAAATTTCTGTCAAAATAATCTTCAGTCACAAAATAACCACCAAATATAGAACCTTGAGATACAGACCTTTCAAATAATGTGTTTTGTCAAGATTAGATAAAGTTTACTAAGGATAAACTTTGAACCAATTCAATAAAATACACAGTCCTCAGGAAACTTCATGGCCAGATACTACTACTACTAATAACATTGCAAATATTTTTTTTAATTAAAATATATGCAATATTCACAATGTTGCTTAATATCACCAACAATCTTACTGTAAATGCATACATGTATTTATCACTCAGCTATACTCTCTACTTGCAGTCTAAAGAAAAAAACAAGTGTTTGTACAAACTGTCTACTGAACAATAAAACCTGAAATACAACTCGAAAACCATCGGTTGGCAGCCGAACAGCGGGCCTGGGTAGTGTCCAGCTAGAGGCCGGATCAGACACACACACAAAGTCAAACACAGCGCCTCTCGCACCGCCTCACCCCATTGGTACTGGGTTGCCATAGAGCTGACATGGAAGCGATGCTGCTTTCCCAGAGTTCATCTCTTCATGTCCTTTCACTGATGTCAAGTAACCATGACTGAGGCTTCATATCGCGCACTATATTTTTTTCCCACTTGGCAGCGGGAAGAAGATTCAGGCGGGCTGTTCTCAAGCAAGATGGAATCTTTTCACAAGCTGGCAGAAACACAAAAGGACAAAGAGAGGAAAATGCACGTACTTTCCATTGGCTCCCCACGGCGAAGGTGCTTGGGAACTTTTTGCAGAATTCTGAGGGAGCGAGAATAAAAATCATTTATAAACACAGCATATAATCGCCAAATGCAAGCATGCTAGGTCTCATGCAAATGCTAATAATCATAATTAGCTTACAGTTTGACAATGTATGCTTAGAATTTATGACTAAATTGATTTAATAATGCAGAATTTATGAGAACAAGCTATTCAAACAAGTGTGAAGATTTCTAGCTCTGTTTCTTAATTGCAATAAACAAAGAAACAGAGGCACGGGGTCGTATACCTTGAAATACTCCATTAGTGAGCGGGAATACTTCATGGCATGGTCCTTCTTCAGCTTGAACATTCGCAAGTACAGGAGTGACAAACAACGATTGCTGAAAAAGAGAAAATATTCATTAAGGTTCTATTACGATCTTGCCAAACATATTCAAGGAATATTGGAAGATGCTGTTAGGAATATTAATGCAGCATCATCAAGGCAATGTCTGGGTGTTTTTGCTTTATAATGTCCCAGGGATTGATTTTTATTGAAACTAACTTTTTGTTGTATGAATGTTACATAAAACTGGAAACTATTTATCATGCTATTATTATTATTATTATTATTTATTTTTTTAAATGCCTTGTTTTATTCTCGTTCCAGACCCAGATAATCTAATCTTTAATATGAAAATCCATCATACATTTTACTGCATTTTCAAACCCATTATAATTAAAACAGTGACATTAACAATTCCAATATTTACACTGTTAAAATTATGTATATCCATCTGTACACAAATTATGACTGTCCCACAATTGTGGCATCATTTCCATTATGACTGATAGTTTTGTGTATAATCAATTTAAAAAAAATTTTTTTTTTTAGTTTATTTGGTGCTTAGTGTACTTTTAGTGTAAGTTAGTGTACTTGGAAATTATAGTGTTAATGAAGAACTTGAGATAAAATGTGAAGAAAATAAACAGATAATATCAAAATAAAGCATTTTTGTACAAGAATTGTTAAAATTTTATTTAATTATGCGCAATTAGGATACATAAAATGCTACACTGTAAAATCATATCAGATCATATCATATCAGTAAGTCATGGGAGCTTATGTTTTTATTTTTATATTACTTCTATATGAGCAGCAACTGAACTTAAGAATGTTTTTTTTTTTTTTTTTTTTTTTTTTTTTTTACAGTGCTATGAAATTGGCTTAAGCGAGACAAAGGAGACACAAATTTTATTCCAGACATGTTTAAAATATAATTTCCATTTCCAAATATCACAGAATGTTATTAAAGACAATAAATACTTGGTGGAAATGACGTGTTAAGATGAACAAACAAAACAAAACGAAATGAAACGAAACGATACAAAACAAAACAAAACAAAACAAAACAAAACAAAACAAAACAAAACTTCAATATGAGCACTGAGGGAAAAGCAGCCAGTATCTTGGGGTGGCTGACCTTTCAACAGTATGCTTGCGAGACACCAGATGCTTGGGACATATGCAGAGCCCCATGAAACCAAAACTAGCTTTCTCACATTTCTCACGCATCCAGACTACTGAAGTCCCATCAATACATAAACAAGGTGTCTGTCCCTCCAAAAGCAGGTCAGAGGCTTTTATGGCATCTTGTAGATGCATCTTTATTTGAGCATGAAACGTTTCCTGACGTCACAGGTCAAAATCTACAGGTTATATTGGCCTAATATCTGAAGCCCGAGAGTAAACATGTTTTTACAGCTCTCTTAAATGCATAGAATATCGCCCGAACGGTATTATGTCCTCGACCCAGGTTTATAAATCATAAACGCAGCAGCCTTTGAAAATCCCTTTCGGCTGCTAGATGACTTTCATTAACAAGCCAGAGAGACTGGCAGCTGAATTCCAATCTGCGCTGATGACTGTCATCCCGCTATAAGCACAAAACTAACCTTGACATTCAAAATAAACAAGCCGCCGTGGCATGACAGGCAGGCAGAGCACGGGCGGCTTTTATCTGGCCGAGAATATGTTTCTGCCGTCACTATGTGGAAATCTTTCATTATCCTCTAATAGCTTAATGAAATACAGGAATAATGATCCACTCTAAGCTGATTAAGCGCTTTAGCAGTGTTTTAAAGCTTCCTTCCAGATACGGATGATTGTCGTCGAGCGATGGCTGAGAGGAGATTTAACTGGCTGCTAGTGCAAAGCGCTGGATTTAGCTTCTGATGGTACGCGGGGAACGGCGTTGAAGTGTTAATACCACCTCTGACACCCTTAGAAGGCCCTAATGCGTGCGTATCTGTTGGGTTATCAATGAAACTCACATTTTGACCTCCATGTATGTTGAGTGTGACTTTTTCAGCAAACAGCATTGCACTAATTTGATGTCCCCAGACTATTGGATAAAGTCCATATGGCGGGTCATTCTGGGTATGTGGAGGGCGTTTACGCTATAAAGCTTTTAACTAAATACGAAAAAAAAAATCTTTTTTTTTGGCTGTTTATTTACAGGACAATAGCGTTTTCGGGACATGAAAATACAAACTTTTAAAAACAGGTTTCAAAGTGCAAGTTTTTGAAAAAACTACATGTAAACTTTGGATCTGTGTGAACAGGGAACATTTTGACAACATTGCCGTGTGTACGCAAAACTTTTCAAAAACACAAAGGAAAAACTTTTCCGTTTTTAGTGCATCGTTGTTGTGAAATGTACCCTTATTCAGGAAGGGTTCATCTAACCGACATTTAAAGTGACTTTTAAAGAAGCATGATTCATCTTTTTCTGTGACATTTAGGGGTGGGCAATCTGATATAACCTGCATAACTCTGGAAGCAAAGTGGAATGTAGAATTATTAGGACACAATGTTTACTTGCTAATGTTTGATTCTATGAGTCTTGCAAACGTTGTAAAATCAAGTAGCTCTTCCTCTAAAATGTTAATTGCAGAAGCCTTGAAACAAAACTTTATTTTCTGTTTGGCTGGTTAAAACGTGCATCCTGATTTTTAAAAACTGCAAGCCAGCCTATCAGCCTATATTTCTCCAGTCTTCAGTGTCACACGATCCTTCAGAAATCATTCTAATATGCTGTTTTGCTGCTCAATAATTTTTTTTTTACATTATAAATTGTGAAAAATGTTGTGTTGCTTCATATTTTTGTGGAAACGAAGATGGTGATTTTGTATTTTAACAAAAAAAAGTTTTAAAGAACAGAATTAACTCAAAATAGAATTCTGTTGTAACATTATACATGTTTTTACTGGCAGTTTTGATCAATTTAATGTGTATTTGCATACTTAAAAGTATTAATTAAAATAAACAACAACAACTATTCTTTCAAAAATAAATAAATGAATAAATAAAATATGAATCTCACTCACTCACTCACTCACTCTCTCATCGTGCCTAACAACGCCCCTTAGCTGTTATAAATTCACTGTAAACCACGGCTTCACTGGGCTTATTGCTTTTATAAAACGGTTATTCCATATACGTAGTAAGGTTTCACAGAATAAAACAGAGCAAATAAAGTGTAATGATATAAATAAAAACAGTATTCTTCCACCAAACTCAGAAACAGTTGTGGTTCCAACACAGTGCTTGCCGAGCAACACACAGAAGTAAACAAAGGTGTATGTTTGTAGTGTAATTTACAACAGCTTTGAACGCGGCTCAACCAATCAGAATCAAGGACCGGAACTATGCGTTTTATAAACAAATATAAAAAAACTACTGACACCATATTTCATTTAGCAAAGGATCTTAGAATACACTGATGAACATTGAGGACCATCTAGTTTTATTGCCTCTGATGTCAATAAAAACGAGGACTGCTCCAACTGTAGGTAATCATCTTTTATTTTCGAATCACGAAGAGGGCACTGACCTGATGAGCTCTACGGTTTCTGAATACATTGTGTATGGTGACTTGGCCTCTAACGGGTCCCGTTCCATGGCATTGCCGCATTCGATAAACGAGAGCGCCCCGTCTGCGTAATTCACAGCTTTGCCGAACTTGTCCATCTGTGAAGCAAAAGTGCCATCAAAGGTTGAGAGAATTATGCAAAAAAAAACAAAAAAAAAAACACTGAGGTAATTTTTTGAAGCTCGTAAAGTCATATAGAAAAACAGATATCATCAGAGGAGGAAATAAAGCCATTAGGCTGAGGTAAGAAGATGAGTCAGAAGATGTAATGCAAGAGTGAGGCAACGTGCAGATTTACGGCCAACTTCACGACAGGTTTATGAATCAGAACAGTTTATTTTGTGTGGTATAGTAGTACGAAGTGCTTTTCTCTATATTTAGGGATTATGTTTTTCATCCTGACTTATCGGCACATGCTCATAAAGGCTAACTTTAACTCTCATGTCTCGTTTCTCAAACACAAACTAATCAATAGCACTAAACAACATTACGCCTGCCTCCAAAAACCCAACTGCATCCAGCTCCGCAGACAATCACAAACAATAAGAGCATATCTCATCTCCATAGGAGCGTAAAATAGATTTACTGACCACTTGCCTCCGCCGGCACCTCAGGAGCCGAGTCCATTCGTTTTCAAGTGAGCCCTTCAATACGAGGCGCACGGACGCTCGGGATTCATTACACGCCTGCCACTACGCTCATGTAACACTGGCAATCAATTCCCTTTACTTTGTATTCATGACTAGGCCTATACATCGTCATCGCGATTTATGACAGAGAGGATGTAACTTGCGATAATGGACAATGTCTCCAGAGATAATTGCCTGGATCCAATTATTGAGGGTCTGGGGGTCTGTTTTGTAAATCTCTAACAAAGCTCCTGCTTTATGGATGCTAAGGGCAGACACAAGGGCTTTCGCTCGCCTATATTGGAAAGTCTTCCATTATAAAAGGTCTGCCGAGAGAGCTTTTTCTCAGCTTGCTAATGGCTCTCTGTAGCGGATGGGTTATGTGTCCGTGTAGTTAAGAGCAGGAATTTTTCATCTACTCTTGCTGAGTGCTAACTTCCCATTGGAAAGAAAAATCGCTAAAGATTGCACCATTATCACTGTTTCTCCTAGGCTGCACTGAGATGGGATGAGAACTGAATGGAGACTCTGGCTTGGCAGATTTTTCTGCTTAGTAAAAGACGTCATCATTTCACATATGTCTCCACTAGAGTTTCAGAAAAGATCTCACTGTTACCCACAGTGCTCAGGTGCCAAGATTCCCAAATCAGGGTTCCCACACCTTCCGATCAATGAATTATCAAGATTTTATCAGCTACCCAAATTACTTTTAGAATGCCTTATATAGATCGCATTGACAAAGACCAATCTTAGCAGAACAAAGCTAGAAAAGCCTAGAAATTTTCTTCCTTGAATTTTTAAATCATTATTTTTTATACAGACTATTATTATTATTATATTCTAACAACAAAACAACAATACTACTACTACTACTAATACTACTACTGCTACAGTACTAATTTATTATTATTATTATTACTATTATTAGTGGTAGTAGTATTTTCCCTGTGACTTTTCAGGCCAGGAAATAGCCGTTTTAAAATTCCCCAATATTCCCAGGTTTCCATTAATCATGGAAAGTAAATTCTGCAATCAAATGTCAGAATAACCACTAATAACAATTAGAATGATCAGATCAATTTATGAGCTACAGCGTTTTTTCTGTAGCTTATACCATATTCAGTCAAATTGTTTCTGCTTCGAAAGTTATTTACACTAGGATTTTATTTAAAGATAAACAATAAAACTACACAATAAAACACCTTTTCTTTCAGTATTTTATTCCATACAGTGTTGTTTTATTAGTAATTTAGATAGTTTTTAAAATATGTTGAATTATTTCCCAGTTTCATTTTCATTTTAGATAGTTTTAGTATTTTTGTTGTTTTTATTTTTAATTGAAAATTTTTTTTTTATGTTGATTTTGATAACACTTTATAATAACATTCAGTTGTAAGTCATTTATAAGTGATTAGTTAATGATGAACTAATCATTTACAAAACATTCATAAGCAATTAATACGTGATTTGCTAACAATTTGTGTATGTATTGTTAATTAATTTACAAGTAATTAGTTAATGATGAACTAATCATTTACAAAACATGACTATGCGTTCATAAATGATTAATAAGAGATATGTTAATATTTTTATTTATGTTTTGTAGATTAAGTTATAAATCATTTACAAGTGATTAGATGGTGATGAACTAATCATTTACAAAACATGACCATACGTTCACAAATGATTATTAAGTAATATGCTAACGATTTACAAATCTGTCGTAAGTTATCTTAAAAAATAGCATCACGAAATAATCAAAAAGATCCTTAGTAAATAGCTAATAGTTACTAGTTATTATATTATTAATCACTTATAAATCATTGAAATGTCAACATTGTACTAGTATCTCAATAAACATTTGTTATTCAGTATATAATTTATGTATGTTTCGTTAAAGTTGTAAGCTGGTCTGTTAAAAAGCCCCAAAAAAATGCAATTATGCTAAAACTTTTTTTTTTTATGAAGAATAATAAATTATTTGCTGTCAAGTGAATAAACGTGTAAATGACATTTACAACTGATGAGTAGTTTACACTTTAGATTAGGGGTGTTGTAAATACCTTGTATACACCTACAGATCATTTGTATCAGGTAAGACAAATCTACAAATGATGTGTAACACATTAGACTTTAGATTAGGGGATGCAGAAAGCTTAGTAAATTATTTATTCATGCGTTTACACAACAGGTTTTGAATACTTTGTAGTGTGTACTGCAATGTAAGGGCTGACCTGTGAGGGTATAGACAGATGTCTTCTCCGACACACATATTTTTAACGCTATTTAACTATAACAACTGTGATTCTATAACAATTATTGTTTTGTATATGTTTTGGCATATGGTTATGAATAGACTTACCAAAGCATCTGCCTTGTGCTTCAACTTCTTGGCCTCCTGCATGTAGTAATCTGCATTGTGAACACTGTAATGATATAAAGTGTGATTAAGATCTGTTTGTTTTTCCACACACATTCCACTGTGCGCATTAACATGAACCTGAAATATGTAAAGCTGCAATACGACTGAAAGCGTTCCAGACTCAGTCAGTCATTACCCACAGCAATCACACTGTTACTGTTACATACGTGTTATTAAATGTGAGTTTAGGTCTCCTGGGCTCCATGTGCTCCGTGGACAGGGCTGAAGTGTTTGACCAGAGGTCTGGCTCCGACTGACCACTGCCGTGAAAACCGCCGGAAGGCTTGCTGTGACTGTCTTCCTCCTGGAACAGCAAGAGAACATTAAAACGATAATTAGCCTTTAACAGCTTGAATAATACATAAAGGATCCATTCACTCTCAGTCTGTTCTGCATCTACTCAGTGTTTTCATTTTTAGGACCATTTAGCTGGATTGATTTTGGACGATCGGCACATGGGAGCCGTTCTCTTGTCTTCAAGGCTATTTTGAAACCTTTCCAAGAAGGTAATTAGTTTAGCAAAAACACAGGAAATGTGGTGAAGGCCTCAAGCAAAGCAAAAAAAAAAAAAGAATCTATCTATTCCATCCATCAGTCTATCTGTCTGTCTATGACTTACAGCGCTGGTCTTGGAATGGGAGAAGGATTTGTTCTCTCCTTTGCGGTGTTTGTGTGATGAGGACGATGATGAAGAGGTGGAGGCAGGTATTGTGCGGGTGTTTGGGACGGTGGAGGTGTTTCCCTCCTGACTGAGGGAGCTGCATTCACTGCTCCTCCGTGGGCGGCCCACCGGCTCATCGGACAGCGGCGACAGCAGAGGCGGTAACAGCTTATCATCCCGCTTGCGAGGTTGCTTCTTTAAAGAACTTGGCAGAAAACATAGACAACAAGTCAAAGGTCTCTGTCTGTACAGCAGTAGGCCAATAAATTTGTGGCGTTTACAATATTTCTTAAAACAAAGACATTCAAAGTCATATTTGTGACCCTTAAGTCGCTGGGGTATATTTGTAGCAATAGCCAAAAATGCATCGTATGGGTCAAAATGATTGATTTTTCTTTTATGCCAAAAATCATTAGGACATTAAGTAAAGATCATGTTCCATGAAGATATTTTGTAAATATATCAAAACTAAATTTTTGATTAGTAATATGCATGGCTAAGAACCTCATTTAGACAATTTTAAAGGCGATTTTCTCAATATTTTGATTTTTTTGCACCCTCAGATTCCAGATTTTCAGAATAGTTGTATCTCGGCCAAATATTGTCCTATCCTAACAAACCATACATCAATGGAAAGCTTATTTATTCAGCTTTCAGATGATGTATAAATCTCAAATTTCGAAAAATTTACCCTTATGACTGGTTTTGTGGTCCAGGGTCACATTTGGTGGTGTTTTAAACACTACCGAGGGATTGGGGGGGGTACTGTGAATGTATACATACTGTGAATGTAATCACAGTCAGATATATCTCATGTGAATGTAAACTGATGGGACTACATATTGTTCACGTGCCAAAATACCAGATCTGTGCTTTAGGCCTTGTTGTGGAAATGTAGATTAAGACAGGGGGAAAGAAATCACATGGACAGATTGTTGCTACACTCTAAAAAATGCTGGGTTAAATACAACCCAGTGCTGGGTAAAATAGGGACAAACCCAGCAATTGGGTTGTTTTGACTCAGCAGTTGGGTTAAGTGTTTAACCCAACCTTCTGGGTAGTAACCCAACCTAACCCTAACCCCTAACCCTAACCCTAACCCAACAGTTGGTTTAAATTTTTACATTAAAATTTTAACCTAAAAGCTGGGTTTGTCCCTATTTTACCCAGCACTGGGTTGTATTTAACCCAGCATTTTTTAGAGTGTACACTCTAAAAAATGCTGGGTTGTTTCAACCCAACTTTGGGTCAAATATGGACTAACCCAACTTTTGGGTTAAAATTTTAATGTAAAAATTAGAGCATTTTTTAGAGTGTAGAACAACTCAGATAATGACTAGATGCTTTGGACTTAGACTGAAAAAAAAAAAAAAAAAAACTTTCCTAATATAAACATACATTGAAAAAAAATTGCAGAACAAAAGGTCCAAAAAGTAAAAAAAAAAAAAAAAAAACTTTCCTAATATAAACATACATTGAAAAAAAATTGCAGAACAAAAGGTCCAAAAAGTAAAAAAAAAAAAAAAAAGATCATATGCAAAAGTATACAGGTACAATATATATCATTTAAAATAATAAATAATGAGCAGCAAAACTGAACACACGGAAGCACTGTTTTCTCAGATTTTTTTTTTTTTTACCTTTTTTCCCATCCCTAAATATCTTTTTCTTTTTTCTTTTTTGAGAATAAAACTAACAAAATGTTGTGGTTGTCATAAGAGAAACTAACACATTGAAGATATAGTGAAACAAATAAATATAAATAGTTTGCAATTGTATAGCGACACATGCATTAAGCATCCGATCAAAAATATAAAATTACATTTCTTTAAAATTACAATAATGCAAAATGCAGTTTCATGACAAGTAGAAAATAATTATGGTATTACATTTTTCTATTTTTATTTGCCATTGATGCTGACTTCTGAATCTATAGTGAATCTCTGAAAGAAACGCTCTCAGCTCAACTTCTAATGTTGCATCTCAGCACAACACTAAACCCTAATTAAAGAGTAAAGCTTCTTTCTGCAATTCAAAGGAGCTACCACTGACATACAGTATATTATTTTACACAGGGTGTAATTTTGTTGAAAATATGATACTTTATTCTGCTCTCTCTTTTATTATTTTCACCCTGCAGGGCAGTAGGGTCATTTTAGATTAAATGGTTTTGTTCCTTTTCTAGAACAACACAGGAGAGACACAAGATCATATACAGATGAGAGAGGGAGGTGGTGGCACCTGCATGTGCTCTGATATAAACTTTGCTAAATTCATTTACATAAATGCTTACATGTCTAAACTTAGCCTAAGCGCTAAATAAAGAAGCTCCACCGAGACGGAATGTCCTAGACAGCAGCATATTTTTTGCCTTTGGTTTATTAGGCTGAAAATACACCATAAAACATGAGTCTCATCAGTTAACAACACTAAATAAAAAGCCTTCTTTACTTTTTCTAATTCAATTAAAAGGGTGAACGCAGTGAACAAGCTGATTTAAAACACACTGAGCAGGTGATAACAGTAAATAGCCCGAGGTGCTAAACACTTCCAGTAATAGTTGTTAGCGGTGGCTAATAATTTAACGTAGCGCTGCTGATCGTATCATGAAGATTTGTTGGCGTTAGTCGTGTCGCAGTGCGGTGGGCACTCAGGCGGACAGGACAAGCATATGACCCCTGTCATGCGTGTGTCTTTGATGGGCTCTAGCCTGGCCTGACACTAATTGAATATCTAAAATTAGCGGTAGCCATTGTGCTGGTGTCAGTGTTAAATTACTGTAATGCAGTGGGACAAAGCAGGCAGGCGGCTCGAAAGGGTGACCTGTTGCTCCTCCTGCGTATCCCAGCATTCTCTCAGAGGACATAACACAGGGTGAGCTACTAAGCTGAGTTGGCAAATCTCGAGTGTTTTCGTGCATATGTGGCAAAAACATCAGGGGACACTGGCAGCATATGTTAAAGAAAAGTGAAGCATCGTGGGCTCTCTATATGAAGGTTTTCAGCGGAGTTACTGAACAAAATCCAACAAGAATCGTTATTATCTATTAAAATCAAAATGGCTAGTCACTAGTCATGCTCCTAAGACGTAGGCAACAAGCCATGAGTCAGTACTGAATACTCACTCTTTTGTGCTGGAGACCTTGTGGTTGTGTATGGGCGAGATACAAGGAGGAAGCAGCAGTGCGTCTTTGTCCATCCGAAGCTTCTTGCCTCCACTCATCACGTCACAGTGCTCAGACTGCAGAGAGATGGAAGTTAATTACCACCATACAGAATTTAACATGTTATTTAGCTTGGCAGGATAAAGGACGAGTTGAAACATCTACATTAAGACTAAAAAAAACCCATCTTTTATAGTCCAAGAATCAGTTTCCCCTTACACATGGTTGAAACAGGATAGCACTGAAATTTTAAATTGTACTTTACTCATGAACACATAATGAATAGTGAATTCTACACTACCTGACCAAAAGAAAAAAAAAGTTGCAGTTTGGATTTAAATAAGCAAATACTTTAGATTTTAGGATTGAATCATTTTTGCAGTGATTAATATGTTACTGGCATGTTGTGTTTGACAACAATTATTTTAACCCTAATTGATGCACTGTGTACTTTTTTATTTCTCAAACAACCATATTGGAAGACATATCCATGTGTGATTAAATGAGCATGAGAAATCATTTTCATACATGAATTGGTCACCACACTCTTTAGATGCTGGGTTTAAAACAACTAACATTTCTTGCTTAAAATCAACCCAAAATAGATTGGAAATTAACATTTAATAATGTTCAATAAATGCTGATGCCTCTGGTAATTTGGCATTAATTTTAAGCCAGCCAAATAACAATTTATAAATAATACGGTAGTTGAGTTAAATAAAACTACCCAGAAGGTTGGGTTAAACATTTAACCCAACCGCTGGGTCAAAAAAACCCAGTCGCTGGGTTTGTCCATATTTAATCCAGCATTTTTAGAGTGCATGGAGTCCTGAGCTTAACCCCATTGAAAGTCTTTAGGATGTGCTGGAGTGAATTGACTCTCCTAATGTCAATACTAGATCTTGGCCAAAAACTTAACTCCTGATGGAAATAAATGTTGTGATGTTGCATAATGTTGTGGAAACAATGCCACGACAAATGTACAATATAATCAAAATTAAAGGTGGTCCAGTGAAAAGTTAGAGCAGAGGTCTTCAACCCTGCTCCTGGGGACCCACGGTCCTGCAAAGTTTATTTCCAACCTGCTTCCAATGAGCATTTTCAAGCAATCTTGAGGAGCTCGATTAGCTGCTTCGTTTGTGTTTGATTAGGGTTCTAGATAAACTCTGCAGGACAGTGAGTTCCCAGAAGACCTCTCTATTAGAGTGTGCAACATATTTTTTTTTTTTTGCACAGGCAGTGTATATTGAGGTCTTGACAACCCTGGTTTTCACATATAGTAGACTTCATATGAACCAAACCCAGTTCAGTTAAAGTGAACAAGAAAGGGAACTGGCTGCAAGTGACCTCAATGCTTCAGGTGTTGACATTGTAAGTGGTCTTAAAAGGGGACTCTTTTGAACCACAAACGAACCTCTTGAGGTTGTCTGTTTCATTTATGCATCTTTGGATCATTTGTGGGGATCTGAGATCATGTGCTTACATGTGCATGTTATTTGGCTCAAGATTGCTTGTATGTTCAATTGAACTAGGTGTGAAAAGGTTGGAGCTGCAAGTGGTCTTTCATGAGCTGTCACCATTTGTACCCGTAGGTGTTAAGAGTTTAATATGTTCCTGTAGACAGGAAGGTCTATGATTTACATATGACGTTGGATGAGATACTGTACTATTTTATAAAAACAATAAAAACCTTTGGCCATTAAATATCTGGGTTGCTAATGAATCATACAATTCGAACTCGGCAAGGGGCGATCCTTCAGCTATCAAGGTTGTGTCCTTCAACAAGGCACTCCAGAGGAATTGTTCCATGGAAAAAGTGAATGTCGCTAAAAGGACCTGCTAAATGACTACTTGCTTAAAATAATAATTGCATGATTATTTAGCAATTGCAGTCCTTGATTTTATAATTATAGTGCATGAAATGAGAGTGAGAACATTGAACACTTGCCTTGTGTTTCCTCTTGGATTTACTAGGGTTCTTTTCTGCAGGGATGGAGGCAGGAGACTGTTGCCGTCTGTGCTTGACACTGACCTCCCGACACTCGGCCTTTGTTGGGGGAGGCTCCGGAGGGTCTTGCCCTGGGATCCGTGATAGGAAGCTGAGTTCAATCTTAACCCAAAGGGACTTGATGTCCTCAAAATCTCTTAGTGGTGACAAAAGTTCATTTTGTACAATGGGGATGGGAGAAAAGATGGGCTCTTCCAGGAGATCCGAGGCACCTGGATCAGGAATAGAGGTGCTGCTTGTGCTGGTAAGGCTGCTAACACTCAGGATATTGCTGTTGCAATCCTTGGATTTCAGGCTTAGGGTGTTGGGCCCGGGACAGGGAAGCTGAACCTTAGTGAGCTCTTCAGGGTCCGAATGACACTCGGATGAAGAAGACTCTGTCTCGATGAACTCCTTAGACTTGGGGATGATCTTGTTGGGTCCTCGGTGCTTCTTTTTATCCTGAACCGGTGTGATATTCGTTGGTGCGGTGTTTGTCGTGGTGGTCCGAGGTTCCTTTCTTGGAGCCGTCTTGACCCCAGGGCCCTTGCCTCTAGGTTTTGGCGGTTCTAAAGGTGGGGGCTCTTTCTCTTTCGGGGTAGAACTTGAGTTCCCTGGTCTTGGCCAGTTGTGCTCCTCGCTGCTGGAAGATCGCTCCAACTTTTTAGGCTGCTTCTTTCCAGTGCTTCTCCTGGGGGGTGCAAGCTCCACTGAGGCTGGTGATTTTACCTTGGTGCTTTTGCTGTCCGGAGCCTTCTGACCAGTCTTGGGTTTGGCTTTCTCTCGGATAGGACTGAGCAACGTTCTCTCCTTGGGGTCTGCTGGTGCCAGTGCTGTGCTGGGTTTGCTCTTGCTGGAGCTCTGGTTGTCTGAGGCTTGGCTTTTATCAGGTTGAGAGCTGTTAAGCCCATGACTATCTGACTGGGTGTTAATTAGTGCTTTATTGTGAGGATTAACTTTGTTTAGCCACTTATCTAGTTGCCACTTGTTTGTTGATGGAGGTTCAGGCTGGTGGAAAAAGACAAAGCAAATTGATGGCACAACAGTTTAAGGAATATTGACAACACTGTCTCAGCAACTTATTTTATCAATCACACAATGAGATGAAAAGCAGATAATTTTTTGTTGCACGTGACATTTTTACATGCATTATGTGGGTCTATACAATGTAAATGGATGCATGTGTAAAATAACATGGAAACCAAATTTCTAATGATGCATATCGGTACAGATTTCATCTGTCTCCAGTGTTGATTCATGAGAAGCTTGATGTTTCCGTCATATGACTTTCACAGACCAATGAACTGGCGCTATGATGAAAAGGCCATTAAGAGAGGAAGTCATAAAATTCCTGAATAACGGAGGAAATACTGTGAGTACTGTCCTGATGAATGCTCACAGCTCTCGCTGTGGAGATGTTTTCATCGGCTATATTATCTCACGCCAATTGTTGTGTACCATTATGTTTCCAGACACAAGTAAATCTTTCCCACGAACCCATAAACACTGTCTTGAATGCTCTGAATCATAGAAAATCATTCAGAAAAGGAAGCTGTGGAAATGAGTGGACATCCATATTAACCATTAAACTCACGGGGTAAGAAATTCAATTCAGTGCACTTTCCAATCAGACCTGATGGTACGTTTCGAGACAAAAGGCAATCTCCTATGCTATTTGACATTCAAAAGCCACATTCTCCATCTGTCAGAGAGACATTTCTGCCAATACAAGCTACCAAATTTTATACTAAAAGCACCAGCAAAGATGATGAATTAACAATTGAGCATGTCTAAATTGACAGGCCTCCCAATATTTCACCACTGAGGCATCAAGGCTATGCGCGGCTGCTTGAAAGAGAAACATCTTTCTGCAGACCAGAGCGCTTGCAGTGCTAAGATACGGATTCCCATTGGACATCCCTGGCCGAGAGCAAAGCTATACACACAGAAGGGGCGATGAGAACCGGGAGATGTTTACTCTTGCGTAATGCTCTTAGGGAGCCCTGGGCAGGCTACTGCGGGACAACTTTAAAGCTGCCAATTAATCCTTTGAGGAGATCCTTTCAAAAGTCCTACCCCTAACCCATGCTGAGAAAACTCAGAGGGAGAATGCTGCCTCAGTCTCTCTTTGCCTTTAGCTAAATGAGAAAATAGACTTACTCCAATTCATCTCGGTTCTTTTGAAATTTCTGGTAATGGGCCCGGCAATAATCATCTAAGGGAAATAATTGCATATACTGGTATTCATTTACCTCAGGGCCCAGGGTTCAGAAGGTGAACAAAACACCAAACAAAACTGTAAATAACACTAAACAGAAGGGCTGAGGAAATAGCCAAACCCTGTCAAAAATGACTGGGTCATGCCTCGCCTTAAAAAAAAAAAAGTGGAAATAATATTTTGCTGTAGGTAAATGATGCCTATTTTTTTTCCCCAAAAAATAAGGAGTTCGTTAATTAGAAGGGGGTTTCCACATATTTTTGGCCCTATCCTGTAGTGTATGGACTGAACTGAGAAACACCTATAATAACAGCCATCAGTGAATGGAATGAAGAGACGACTCATGGATCAGTGTGAGGATGTGTTGTGACAGTTTAATGGCTCGTTTCCACTGAGCGGTACGGTTCGGTACAGTACAGTACGGTACGCAATTATTTCCGTTTCCACTGTCAGAAGTTGTGAATGGTACCAAAATAGCGAACCGTACCGTACCACTTTTTTGGTACCCTTCCGTTGGGGTACCTAGCACAGCAAAGG